GCCTTTGAGGTTGCGGCTCCTGCCGTTCTCCGCAGAGGCCGGGATGTTTTGCACCGGATTTCTGAGCAGCTTCGGGCCAAGAGGGCCGGGGCTCAGATTTCTGGCCTCCCTGTTCCCGGCCAGCCTCTGATGAGATGTTCCCCGGCCCCAGACAACGTGTGAAATGTAATTCGATTTGGAATCACTTATCAAATTAGACGAGCCCTGTGCTGTGCGCCTTTAAAATTCAGTCCTTGGTCCCACTGGCACGATTTGCAAAAGTTGGCCGTTTACATTCAGTGTTTGCGTCTTCAGAAGGGACAGGAAGTTCCCCAGTGACATTTATGGGGAGTTTGTGGTGGCTGGGATGGGTTCATCGGGACACAAGAGAAAGGGCCGGTGTTCAAAGCCCTGACGTCCCCAGAGCACAGCCCCTGTGCTCGGGGACGGGGGGGGGGGGGCAGCTGTTCGCAGCCTCAGCTCCCCCCCCCCCATCCCCTTGGCTCCTCCGCTGAACTTGCCGCCTTTGATCATCTTGAACCTGCCCCCTCCCTTCTCTGCCCACAGCCCTGAGCTTCTTTGTGTGTGTCCCTAACAGTGCAGTGAGGAGGTAACGCAGATAAATTCTACGCTCCTGTCAGACCAGGTCATTTTTTTAAATTGAAATCCATGGACCTAGGGGTCCTTTGATGACCCCCCCCCAAATTGTCCACATTTCTCTGCAGTGTCTCTGCACATGTGTGTTTTTTAGGGAGGGAGTCCTTACCCTTTGACAGCGTCTAAAAAAGGTTTATGATACGTGCACAGAAATCCCTGACAGATGGGGTTTCTTATGTGGGAGGGACAACTGTGAGTGTCTGGAAGTTTGGGCTAAGAAACACCCGAATAAATGAACTCCGTGTTCCCGTGTGCTATTGCCGTCGCCATCCAGACCCACCGCAGGCCGGCAGCGTCTCCCCCTTTGATCTGGGGCTCAAGAAACGTTTGCTGAGTGAACCGGTGAGGTTTTGGGCTTGGCCCACCAGGACCCCGGGATCTTTTTCCACCGTCTTTGTGTGCAGCCGTTCTTTAGCATCTTCCGTGGGCGTGTGGCTTCCAGCCCCGATGCCCTGCCCTCCCCTGCGTTCCCAGAGTTGGTTCACAGTAGCTTCTCCCTCCACTCAGCCACGCAGACCAGGAGCGAGGAGTCCGTCCTCTGGGAGGCCCCCACGGGTTTCGTCAGCTCCGCTGGGCAGCCTCCTGGAGGTTGGGTTACAGGAGGAGACGGGCTTGTTGGTCGTCTGTTCCATGTGGGTCCATCCGGGGGCTTTGTCTGGGGCAGCGGGTGGGCCAGGCTTCGCCTACATCAGCACCTGTGTCCTGGGAGAGCGGCAGCCGACCCTGAGAGGCCCCTGGGGTCCGGGGTCCATGCTGAGCCTGGTAGCTCCGGCCAGGCTTGGTGTCCCTTGGCCTTTTCTTGGCGGTTGTGGAGATGAAGATGCTAACGTCCCTTGGTGGGTCTGGGGCTCCAGACCCGATGCCCTTCCAGCCTGCTGGGCCCAGCTCCTGGCCGCACCTGCGGGGGCCGTACCCGGCTTCCAGCACCTTCTGGTCTTGGCAGTGGGGAAGCTGCACTTCCTTCAGCCTTTCCGAGGTGCCATGGGACCTGCCTGGGTTCACATCCTGCCTCGCACCAGCTCTGTGACCGGGACTCATGCCTGGAGGGGCGTCCGGCACTCAGCGGGCGGATAAACGTTGCCTGTAGAGGTTCGCTCGCTCGCTTGCTTCATTCAGCAAGCACTTTGGTTCCCCAGTTCCCCTGGAGCGGGCGTGGTGGACCAGGCATCCTGAGTCTCATGTGCGGGGGGAGGGGGGGACACAGAGCATTACTCAGTTGTCTCTGTGGAAACTGCTCAAAAGCGGGGTGCAGGCTCAAGCAAGGGGGCAGGGGGGGCAGGCTGACCCGGCTCCGGGCCGGGGTCTGCTGGACATGCACCCATGCACCAGCGAGGCCAAAGGAAAGGGAGGGGCACTCCCATCACTGCGCCCCCCCCCCATACTACTTGCTTCCCTTTGAGCGGCCCCTTTGCAGGTCATAGGGAACCTGTCCTTGGGACTGCACGTCCTGGTCGGGGGCTCAGGCCCAGTGGTGGGGCCTCCGGGGCCCCTCGCCCCCCATGCGCCCTGTTGTGCAGTGACGGTCCCGCAGGTGGGACCCCACAGTGGGGAGAGGTGGTCTGGGGGCGTCCCTGGTGGCTGTGTGCTCTGGGGGCCCTGACGTCTGGCCACCACGAGGGTCCTGGATCTGCTAGGTGACCCTGGCTCCCTGGGTGGGCCCGCTGGACAGCCTATCAGCATCTGCGGGCCGGTGGGTCTTGCTCTCCGCTTGGCCACTGTGGGTGGTGAGTCAGCAAGGCCAGTGCGGACGGAGGTATCAGTGTGAGGCCGAGGTTTGTGGGGCTGGGACTTAAGGGGCTGTTGCCGGACGCTGACAGGCAGGGACAGGGCGGGCAGAGAAGGGGTCCCCGGGTGCCGGTTTCCAGTCACGCCTCGCCAGCCTGCTGTACGAGCCCTCTCTGTGCGGCCTCAGGGCTGTGATGCAGGGTGAACTTCCCAAAAGGTGTCCCACAGCCCCAGTCCCAGTGAGCCACAGACACGGGTCCAATCCGATCATCCTTGAAAGCGCTGGGGTGGGGACAGTATGTGTCCCTTGGAGCAGACGTCCTCAGATGGCGCTGGCTTGGGCTGTGAGTTCCAGCCCCCTCGAAGGCACCAACAAGGTCACTGGTTGGGGGTGTGGTTGGGGGGAGGGCTCAGCCCCTTCCCTTTTCTCCCTGCTCTGGGACCTCCTCCCCTGCCCCAAATCCTGAGAAAAGGCCCCCAGCAGGTAACCTGTGGGGAAGGAGGGGGCTGGGCCAGGGCTCACAGGGGCACCTGCAGAGAGCCATTTGCAGGCTGGCCTGCCACCCGCCCTGGCCAGGGGAGGACGGGCTGCTCTCACGGGGCACTTCCGGTCAGCCCTGGGCACAAGACGCTCAGGCCCGAGCGCAGCGTCCCAGCCACGGCTGTGCCCCAAGAGCATGGCCCTCACAGCACAGTGGGGCTCTTTCCAGCCCCTCCGGCCGGGCTGCTTCTTCCCTGACACAGCGGCCTTGGGGGCCGAGACCCGTCCCACACAGTGAGCTCTCGTCAAGGGCACCGTCCAGCTCAGTGTCTTGCGACCATTGTTTTCACCTTGCAGCTTTCCGTGGCCGGGCTCACGTCAGCGCGCCCTTGGGCTGTGCAGGGCTGCGCAGAATGGACAGCGTCTCCCAAGGGAGACCAGAGCGGACCCTCCTGGGCGGGAGGAGTGGGCTTTGCTGGGCTTTCGTCATCACTTCCCAGGCAGGGCCCCCGCGGGCAGGATGTTTGCTTTGGTTCGGGTTTCTGCTGTGGATGTGCTGCCTGTGGCCCAGCCGCTGCTCCTGGGGTCCGGCAGGGAAGCGAGGGGCGGTTCCGGGTCTCCCCACCCCCCAGGCCTGCCCGGGAGGGGCCGATGGGTGGAGGGGTGCGTGGGGGCGCGCTGGAGACTGTCTCCCGGCCGGCAGATGGGAGCAATTTTGAGTCACGTGGGCAGAGTGGAGCCGCGCCCCACAAGGCGGCGGGTGTCTGTCTCCAGGAACCCGCCCACAGCCACACGTGGGGCCAGATGCGGCTCTCCTCTGTTTTCTGGGAGCAGCGGGCCAGGGGAGGGTTCGAGGAGGGAGGCGGCCCCACCGGCAAGTGGCGGTCCTTGTCCCCTCCTGGGTCCTGGGTGGTCACGTGGTCCCTTGCTGTCCTTCGCCCTTCCCTGGCCTGGGGCTGGGCAGCGTGGGCCCTGGGGCTCCTGGCTTGCTTATCTGTGGTCCTATTTTCTTGGCCCTTCGGTTCTGTGAGGTAGGGACCCCTGTGAAACAGCCGTGAGGGACTGGCCTAGTTTCTGGAACAGGGTGGCCAGTCGTCCTGGCGCCTTCCTCACCCACAGCCCCGGGCAGGCCTGGGTGCCAGGGGGAGGGCGCCGGCCCTGCTCTCCCGTGATGGGGCGCTGGGCAGTGGAGATTCAGGGGCCACGGGGGGTTGCTGGGCCCGCCGGGGGCCTGTGCGGGGTAGAGTCGGTTGTTTCCCCAGGAAGTGGACATGCGGTTTCCCAAAATCTCTGCGCCGACCTTCTGGCCTGGTGCCCCATGTCCTGGGCTTCCCGAGGCCGGGCAGGAGCAGGCGGTCCGGGGGCACGGTCAGGGGTGATGGCCAGGGAACCAGCCAGCCCCTCCTGAGGGTGTCAGGACACGCTTTGTGGTCACCGCAAACTCAGGGTGCAGCTGGAGAGAGCGGGGGTCCTCCCTGGGAGTGGGACGCCTCAGGTCCCCAGGGGCGTCGTCGGGGCCGCTGGGGCGGAGGGGCCGTAGAAAGGAGGAAGGCGCTGACCTACAGACGGCAGACGCCTGAGATTTCGAGCTCAGCCCCTCCTGCCTGTTCATCCCGGCCGTGCGGTGGGGCGGGAGCGGGGCTGGGCACCCGGAGACCCCACTGGGCACTCCTGCCGCCCCAGGGCTCTCGGCGGGTACGTGGGATGGGACACACCTCACCCAGGAGCGCAGGGCGGACAGGTGCTGGTGCCTGGCCTCCATTTCCACAAGGCCACCCTCACCTTCGTCCTGGCCCAGGCTGTGCGCCCTGCGGGGCCCTGAGGCCCTTCAGGCTGCAGCAGGAGGCGGGGTGTCTGCGCGGCAGGTGAGGGAGATGGAGGGCCCACTGGGTACCCCGGGCACTGTCCTGTGAGTGGTTCTCTGGGGCGAAGCTCAGGGGGTGGGGAGTTGGGGGTCAGGGGACGGCCTTACCCCGGGGACAGGTCTGAGGGTCTGTGGTGCGCTCTGCGGGCTCCAGGTGTTCCTCGGGGGCGCCTTGGGCAGCCGGGCCTCAGTTTTCCCATCTGAGAAATGGGGCCGATGGTTGGGGCCACGTGAGGATGTAGGTTCTGGCGGGCGCCTGCAGGTGGCCTGACGCCTCTGCCCTTCCTTCCCCAGCCACCGAGGCGGCTCCCGGCTGTGCTGGCGACATGGCCGACACCCCTAGAGATGCTGGGCTCAAGCAGGCCCCCGCCCCACGGAATGAGAAGGCCCCTGCGGACTTTGGCTACGTGGGGATCGACTCCATCCTGGAGCAGATGCGCAGGAAGGCCATGAAGCAGGGCTTCGAGTTCAACATCATGGTGGTCGGTGAGTCCTGCGCCCCGGGCCCAGTCTCTGCTCTGTGACGGCGGGTTGCAGGTGGCATCGTATGTGCATCCGTGTGCCTGCCCGAGGGTCCCAGCTCCTCAGAGGGGCTGCTGCCCCGCCCTTCAGAGTCCCTGGGGTTGCTTGGGAAGGAAGAGTGGCACCGGCTGGGCAGGTGCTGGGTAAACCAGTGGCGGCCCCCTTTCAGCTTCTGCTTCCGCTCACGCCCTGGCCTTCCAGCCCCGTGCAGGGCTGACCCTCGCCCAGCAGGCCTGGCTGGAGGCTTCCTGGTGGCCCCAGGAGAGCAGGACGGTCGTGGGTGCTCAGGTGGTGGTGGAGGTGAAAATCCCCGTGACAGTGGGGTAGACTTCGAAACATCCCACTGGAACCTCCCAGACGTTGGGGGCTCCGGCTGGGATGCATGACATAGCCCCTGGCCTGGAGCTCTGGCTGGGACACAAACGGGCAAGCAGTGGGACAGAGTGGGGGGAGGGGTGGCCAGTCCCGGGCTGCCGACGGCAGGGCCTGTCTGCCGGGAGCACACCCTTCCCTTGAAAGCCCACTAGGGTTGGGGCACGGTGTGATGTCGGGTTAGAGATGCATCAGTGCAGCTCAGGGCACGGAGGGCAGCGGGGCGGGGCTTCCAGGCTGTAGCCAGGCCACACGCGTGTGTGTGGGCCTGTGTGCTCCATGCTGGGGGGGCTCTGGGCAGAGCTTCTTCTGTGAGCCCCATTGGAGCCCAGGATGTGCAACAGCTAAGTGGGGGGCTGGGACCTGCCTGCCTGGGGTTGGCGGGCCCCTGTGGTCGGAAGGCCTGGGTCCAGCCATGCACTGTGGGAGCCGGACCACTGCCCGGCTCTCTCTGACCCTGGTCCCCCACTGAGAGGGGGTGCCCTGGTCTCACTGAGTCGCAGGGCCTGTGAACCCCTGACCGGAGGAGCCCCACTGACCCCCACTGACAGCCCATTCTCTCCCCAGGGCAGAGCGGCTTGGGGAAGTCCACCTTGATCAACACGCTCTTCAAATCCAAAATCAGCCGGAAGTCGGTGCAGCAGCCCGCCGCGGAGGAGCGCATCCCTAAGACCATCGAGATCAAGTCCATCACGCACGGTGAGCACCGGCCGGGGCCCTGAGCCAGAGACTTGTGGCCACTCTGCTGGGCATGTTAGCTGTGGGTCCCAGGCGAGGGACCAGCTCTCCAGAACCCCTGAGCTCACTCACAGAGACAACTGCGTTGTCCACTGGAAAACGTGGGTGTCAACCCCACCAGCCCCTGTTGGACTTCTGTGGTGGTGGCTCTCATGTCCCTGGCATAACCTGGGGTGTCATTGCTGGTCACTCTGGGGCACCCCAAGTGGACCTCATTAGGGCGGGGCTGGCCAGGCAGCGGGGTCTCCTCGTACCAGACAGGGCCCAGCCCACGGGTGAGTCAGGTCCCGGGCTTGCCCCTGAGCTCAGTGGGTGCTGTGACCCCCACAGATATCGAGGAGAAGGGTGTCCGCATGAAGCTGACGGTCATCGACACGCCGGGCTTCGGGGACCACATCAACAACGAGAACTGGTGAGGGCTCAGGGACCTCAGGGTGGAAAACCGTGAAGGGGGCTTCCCCACCCATCTCTGAGGTCAAGGTCTCTCAGAGGAGGCTCGTCCTTGCTCATGGCCACGCACCCTGGCACGTACACCAGGCCCCGGGACTGGGTGGCCCGGGTGGGGACGGGGGCGGCCCTGAGCTTGGTGGGAGCCGTGTGCGGGCTGACCGGCCCCCGCCCGCAGCTGGCAGCCCATCATGAAGTTCATCAACGACCAGTACGAGAGGTACCTGCAGGAGGAGGTCAACATCAACAGGAAGAAGCGGATCCCCGACACACGCGTGCACTGCTGCCTGTACTTCATCCCGGCCACCGGACACTCGTACGTGCCCTGAGTGGCTGTGTGCAGGGGGTGGGGGCAGGGACGGCACCCCTGCATGGGACCCCGTCTCGCCCCGCCATCCCTGGGCGTGGAGAGCCCAGACCAGGCCACTGGGTGCTCCCTGAACTCCGTCCGGGCCTGAGGGGTGACTCCCTGCGCCCCTCCCGGTCCTGTCTCCGTTCTGTCCCCGTTCTGCCAGCCACTCTGTCATCCTCATTCCATTCCAGCCTCAGGCCCCTGGACATCGAGTTCATGAAGCGCCTCAGCAAAGTGGTCAACATCGTTCCAGTCATCGCCAAGGCGGACACGCTGACCCTGGAGGAGAGGGTCTACTTCAAACAGCGGGTAGGGCCCCGCCCCCACCCCGGCGGGGGCCAGGCCTTTGGGGGACCATCAGGAAGTCGGAAAGGGGCGGCCTCCACCAAGGGGACAGTCTCTGTGCAGGGGACAGGTGGCCGCCTCTTCCCTGTCCGCTGCGGTTGCAGGGCCGGCTGTGTGGGGAGGGGTGTGAGCAGGAGGGCTGCCTGGGGCCGCTTCTTCTACCAGGGCCACGGCAGGGCCACCTGGGAGCCCAGAAACCGCAGTGCCGGCCCCCAGCAGAGCCTCTGCCCCAGGTGCCTGGGGTTTTCCCAGCATGCTCTGGGGAGGACGTCCCCCTTGCAGTGGGACATGTCTATGGGGGTGTGTTGACTGGACATCTGTGTGGGGCACCTGGCCCTGCAAAGGGAGGTGACAGTTGGACGCAAGCAGGTGTGCGCCGGGCTGCAGGCAGGCCCCGGGCAGGCACTTGAGGCCGCAGTGACAGGAATGCCCGGTAGAGTTCAGCGTGAGCGAGGTGATGAGCTGGAGGGGGAGGCTGGGAGACACCAGGGACAGCAACCCAGGTTCCTGGGCAGCTGCGGGTCTCACTCAAGGCACGGGAGCTGGAGAACATCAAGGTCACCGGCTCTCCAAAGCTCGCCCTTGACCCTGAGTCTGGGGCTGCTGATGCTGGAGGTGACAGAAAGGGCAGACACCGTCACCAGGTCCAGCTTACCACTGGACGGGGCCCACACGTCTCCCCTCCGGATCCCTAGATCACTGCTGACCTGCTGTCCAATGGCATCGACGTGTACCCCCAGAAGGAGTTTGACGAGGATGCGGAAGACCGGCTGGTGAACGAGAAGTTCCGGGTGAGTGAGTCGCCCCGAACACCGGTCTTGGTGCAGGGTGCGGGCGAGGTCTTCCTGCCCCATTGGGGGTCTGAGGAAAGGCCGGGGGTGGGGGACTGGCAGGGCCGGGAGCCCGAGTGTCCACAGTGGCCCTCTCAGGTCAGGGACCTCAGTTTGGGGGCCCCACACTCAGACACTGAGGTCCCTGACCCACGCCGCCTGCTCCTCCCGCCCCAGGAGATGATCCCGTTCGCCGTGGTGGGCAGCGACCACGAGTACCAGGTGAATGGGAAGAGGATCCTCGGCAGGAAAACCAAGTGGGGCACCATCGAAGGTAACTGCCCCGCCTGCACCCGGGACCGCCACTCCTGCCCCCTGCTCCAGAGCTGCCCATCCAGGCCTGGGGGGGGCACCCTCAGAACCTCATCCCTTGCTTTGCCCCCCACCCCAGCCACCAGGAGGGGCCCACCAAGGAATAACCCGGGGTGGGGGGGGGCAAGTGGTCCATCCAGGAGCCAGTGTCTGACAGAGCTGTGCCCCCACCTGGGTCCCTCATGGATGGGGACGTGCCCAGGAAGGAGGGGTGACATGGCACTGCCGAGTGCTGGTCTGTGTGGCCCTGGGCAGGCTGGACCCTCTGGGCCTAGGAAAGGGCTGGCCCGAAGCTCTACCCGGCCCTGAGAACCCCCAGGTGGCGGGCCACCCCCCCACACACACACATCCCCAGGACGTCCACGGCGTGGTGTCCCGGGCCTGTTATGACAAATGAGCGCAGACTGGGCGGCCGACAACAGATGCTCGTTCTCTCGTGGTTTGGAGGCCGGACGTCCAAAACCAAGGCGTGGGCATGGTCGGATCCTTCTGGAGGCGTGAGGGAAAACCTCGCAGGCCTCTCTTCCTGGTGGCTGTGGCCCTGCCTGGCGTCCTCGCCGTGTGGTGGCACCTCTGCTCTTGGCTCAGCCTTCTGTGTGTCTGTCCCCCGCTCTTAGGAAGGCGTCAGCCGTCGGCTTTAGGGCCCAGGGTTCTTTTCCCAGATGACTCCCCATCTACAGTGCTGAGGGTTGGCAGTTGGGCGTGATCTGGGGGGACACAGTGCCACCCCCCGTGGTGATCACCCCCTAGGTGGGGTGAACCCAGCCATTTCCTTTCTCCTCTGCTCCTCCCTGTGTAGAGCGGAGGAGGGGGAGGGCAGGCTAAAACGGGCCACTTTCCTCCCCGTTCCTTGGCTGAAAGGCCGGGTAGAGAAGGAAGCAGAATGCACCAGGCCACTGCTGCAGCCCCACCTGGCTCTTTGGAGCCGGGCTGTGTCTCCGTCCTCCGGGGCCTCAGTCTTCAGCATCTGTGAAGTGGGTGCAGCGAGGCCAGATTTCGGAGAGATGAGACAGTCCAAGGAGCACTGGAGCTCAGCGGGGCAGAGTGCTCTAAGAAGCTGGCGATAATGAGAACTGCTGGGCGTGGAGCAGGCCCCAGGCCGGCTTGCTCTACTTTGAATCCTCAAAGCACCCGGAGCTGTTTGTGTCCCTCCGGGCAGGGCTGGGCTCTGGAATCTGTGGGCCCACCTGTGCGGGCTGGAGCCTGGGAGAGGATGGAGAGGTGCCCGCGTAGGACTGGCGGGGGGTGCAGGCTGGGTGTCTCCGCGTCTGCCCTGAATCGCCTTTCTTCACCTCTCCCCTTGTCCAGGGGCCTTGACCCCTGGGGTGTCCCTGAAGGCCACTCACCTCCCTGTCCACTGAGGCAGCCTCGGCCTGGCATGGCCCCTCTCCATCTCTTTTCTTCCTGGAGTCTTGCTGTTCAGAACCTTTTTTACGAAGCCATGTTTTGGAGGGAGATCTCTGGGGTTAGAAAGGGGCAATAGGGAGGGACCTGGGAAGGGTGGAGGAGGGCAGCAAGGACACGGACAGGCGTCTGCTGCCCCCTGGTGGCCAGCCTGCAGCCAGTAATGGAAACAGGATTTGCTGGGAAGTGAGTGAGGCTGCTGTTTGTGCCTTGCTCCCCGTGGTGACCCTGTCCTACCCATTCCCTGCCCTGTGCATTGTGGTGGTGCCACCAACTCCCATTCAGGGTCTGTGAAAGGAGCAGCCCCATGGAGCTGTAAGGACGGTGGCGAGGTGGCAGTTCCTGCGGCCCCCGGTGCCTTTTGTGGGCCCCCCCAGAACGGCCCGCCTCGTGCTAGCCCTCCCCGAGTGCATTGGTGCTTTGCCTCAGTCTTGGGCGCCTACCCCTCCCCTGCACTGTCTTTGTCCCCCGCCATCCTGAGGCATTTTCCCCTCCTTGGAAAGCACCTGCAGTGTTTTCGAGAGCAAGGTGAGTGTGGTGAAACTCACAGGTGGCTCACTCCATCCTCTTGCACCCCTGAGAACTGGGCGCAGTTGTTACTCCCATTTCCCAGATGAGGAACAGGGTCAGCGAGGCCAGGAAGCATCTGTCCCTCACTGTGGTGTTTTCTGTCCGTCTGTCTCTCTCTCTCTGAGTCTTGGCCTGGTTGCTGTGCCATCTCCCTGCTTTTCCAGAACTTTCTGGAGAGTGGGAGCTGAATCAATTCTGTCACCCCAGCCCCCTCAGCGCCCGGCGCCTGCCAGGGGCCCCGCACACACCTGACCAAACTTGTCTTTATGCCGGAGCTGCCAGGGGGGTGGGGGAGGGCCTCCCAGCCCCACTAGAGCTCTCTGTCTCCCTCCTCAGTTGAGAACACTGCACACTGTGAGTTTGCTTACCTGCGGGACCTCCTCATCAGGTGAGAGCCGGGACTGCGGGGGTTGGGGGCTGGGGAGTACAGTCCTACCGTCTGCCTGCACTCCTGGGGTGGGGGCGCCTGGGGGCCCAGTTTCTGAAACACCTTCTTGGGAATAAAGCGAGTGAAAACCCTTTGCAACCACCTGAGCCCACTGGGTGGGGAGGGGTGAGTCCGGGCACTGGGCAGGGCAGGGCGTCTCCCCAGCTCCCATCCTGCCCTTTGACCTGGCGGTGTCTTCCCCTTGGTTTCCCTGAGGCCAGACCAGCAGTAGACTGTCCTCAGCCTGTTGGAGAGGGCGGGGGGGGGGGGGCTCCCGGCCAGGTACCCAGGGCTCCCGCCAGCAGGTTGGGGACGTGTGTTGCAGAGCCCGGGTGAGGAAGGACACCGCCCCAGGCTCTTCCGACCCTCTTCCCACATCTGTCCTCTCTGCCCTGTTGATGAGCAGAGCAGGAGTCCAAGCCCAGGACCAGCAGGGTTGAACAGCGGGGCTGTGGTTGCCCCTGCCCACGCCCCTGGCCTCCGGCCTGGCACTTCCCAGCTGGAGGAGGGACGCCCCAGCCCTGCCCACCTGTGTTTGTACCCTGTCCCTGGACAGGCCACGGGCTTGACACAGAGGAGAGGGGACACATTAGAACACAGGTCTGAGAGGGTTTGGGGTTGCCATAGAGACTGCCCATCCTGCAAGGCCAGCCTGGCTGAGCTTGGGCCTGAATCGCCCACTGGGGGAGTCGAGCAGGGGGATTGGGGGAGGGGAGGGCGGCGGCGGCAGTCCTTGGCCAGGCTGAGCGGGTCAGCACCCATCTCCGCCGCCCTGCCGCCGCATGCCCCGCCAACTCACACCCCCCTCCCGCACCCCTAGGACGCACATGCAGAACATCAAAGACATCACCAGCAGCATCCACTTCGAGGCTTACCGGGTGAAGCGCCTGCACGAGAGCAACATGTCCAATGGCGTGGAGGACCCGGAGCCCGAAGCACAGGAGATGTAGACCCGCCCCGCCCCCAGGACCCCGCCCCCAGCCCCAGGACCCGCCCCCAGCCCCGCCCACTCGCCCTATCATTTTCTCTCCTATCATTTTCTCCATTTGTCATCATCCTCTGCCCCCCACCGCCAAGGACAAGATAACGAGTCCCCCGAGTGTGATCGTTACTGGGTTACTGGCCGTGCCTGAGGTCTGGGAGAGGCTGGACCACAGCCAGGAGAGGCAGGCAAGGGCCTGCCGAGTCCATGCCTGCCCCGACCCTGGGCCCAGCTCTGGGGGGCTGCAGGAGTAGCCTGTGCTCTTGGCAGCCCCGCGCCAGCAGGGGGTGGGGAACCGGAGCCCCCTCCGGTCGTCACCCTCCTACACTGCCTGGGCCGGGACTTGTACCACATACCCCAGCGAGCCCTCCTTGGGCCCCTTGGCCCCCGCCAAGGGGAGAGGAGTTCATCCCACGAGACGGAGGTTGCCAATTGCTTAGATGCGGTGAGGCCCACGGGCCACCACCCGCCCACCAGCCTGTGAGCTCACCCGGAGCAGAAAGTGCCTTTATCGCCGACGTCCACTCCAGCCTGCAGACTCCCAGCCGGCCCCCTGGATGGGAAATGGGGACGGGCTCGAGAGGAGGTGTGTCTTCATCTCCCCGCTGTCCCCCTAGCTGGGATTTGATCGGGGGTTCAAAGGGAGAAAAGAGATGCACCCCCACCCCAGCAAGTGAGTCTGGTGAGGCAGTTGAGGGAGGCAGGTTCCCAAAAGAAGGGAGGGGGAGGCTGGGTGGGCTGAGGCTGGGTGTTCAGTGGTCCCAGCGGCCTCGGTGCCTGGCCTGTGTGACTGAGCATGTGCTTGCGTGTCTCCATCCATCTGTCCGTCTGGACACCCATTGGGCCCGAGATGCTCTAGTTAAATTAAGGCCCAGGTGGCCACCCAGCTGCACACCCAGCCTCCGCGGCCTGGCCCTGGCTGCTCTGTGGCCTGGGGAGGCGGAAGCTGGGCAAGCCTGACTTCCTGTTGCCCTGAGTGCGCCTGGGTTCCTGCACCCAGGGCCCGTGGTGAAGACCCCCAAAGGGAGAGGCCAAGGGTCAGGGCACCCAGCCCACCCCTGACCCTGCGGCTCCATGAGGGGACCTGCGGGAGCCGTTCACTTGTGCGCAGCAGGCCCGAGGGGCTTCCACATTGCACGCTCACTCCCCACCTCCCAGAGGAGGGGCCCCTTAGCAAACAGTTTACTTGCCGACTTGCCGTGTTTTTGCCAAAACCGTGACTCCGCAGGGCGTGCCCACCTCCAGCGCTGCGCCGGAGCAGCGTGGGACACTCCCCCCCGGGTGGGCACGCTCCGCCAGGCCCCGTGCTGCCAGGGCTCCGGCGTCCGGCCCTGGGATGCCTTTGCTTCCCTTCTCCGTAGCCAGAAAAACCGTCCGTTTCACGGGGCGTGTTCCGCAGTGGCCTTTGTCTATGTGCCTCCTGAGAAATCCGTCTCTTTTTGTATAAATAACGAAGTGTTGAAAATGTATTTCCTGAAATAAATGTTCCAAATGCGGACTTGGAAGGCTCGGGGTGGAGTTCTTCACGGGCCTCCTGGTGAGAGTCCACGCGCCGCAGCGTGTGGGGGGCGGGGGGCGGTGCTGGGGGTTTATTCCGTCTCCTTCGGGGATGGAGAGGCACTGGGTGTGAGACTGGGGGTGGGGAGTGAACAGCGAACCGACAGACGCCCCGGGTGCCGGAGTCTTTGAGAAGTCCGCTCGGGGAGCTGCTCCCGTTGGTGCGGCCCTGGACATACAGTCACTGGACGGAAGCCTCGGGCCTGGTCAGCGTTTGACAATAATTTCAGCCGACTTCACGTATTCCGAACTGGGCTCCGAGGACATAGAATTTCAGGGGCAGCCCCGTGGGCTCTCTCTGTACCGGGGGGGGGGGGGGGCTTCCCAAGGACGCCTCCCCTGCTTGGCTGCAGAGTTGAAACGAGCCAGAAAAATAGAGCAGGCGGGCGGTTGAGGCTTGTCCAGCCCCTGCCCTGGGTGTGTCCCCGCTCCGCCTGAAGGCCCGGGGTGCGCCCGGCTCCGCCTGGGCGGAAGCCAGAGGGAAGCTGGCTGATGGGGCTCCTTCTGGGTCCTGACCAGGGACGGCCCCCTCCCCATTCTAAACACGACTTTCTAAGGCACATTGTACAACGTAGACTGTGTGGAAAACGCCAGGAGGAAACCCACCACGAAGAAATGAAACACCCCGACCATCCTCCCCGTCCCTGTGGTTTGGGGGTGCTGAGGGGAGGGAGATGGGGCGTGCGGGAAGGGTGGGAGCCATGCAGACGCCCGTGTGCGCAGCCGAGGAGTTTGGAGGCGCTGTGTCTGGGTCCCGCCCGGCAGGGGTCCCCCACCCCCACCCCCCATTCACCCCCAGCAGGTGCCTGCCCCCCATTCTGCTGCAGGCTCGCTCCGTCCATGGCTCTGATGAACAGCTGCCTCCAAGTCCATCCCAGGAAGCAAGTTCCCGAAGGAACTGCCGTGTGGAGAGGTGGGGCCCAGTCTAGGCTCAGCAGTCAGGGCCCCCTGGGCAGTGGGGGTTGGGGAATGGGTGTCCTCGCCTCTGGCCACAGTGGACACAGCTCAGAATCCAGACTCTGCCCCGACTCTGGGGGCTGGGACGGCCCCACCACGTGGCTTCCTTCTCCAACCCGTCCTGGCCGCCTCCTGGTGCCCCGTCACCGGGAGCCCCAACTCCCAGGGCTCGGTTTGCAGAGATTCTCACCCACATGGTCCCTCTGGAGAGGGCACATCGGAGGCCGCCGAGTCCACTGCACAGACGGGAAAACTGAGGCTGCGAGCCACGGGGCAGCGCGGTGGAGGGGCTGGACCCCGGCTTCCTCCTGCAGGGGCCTCACTCGGTGCCTCTGGGGCAGCTCTTCTGCCCTGCCACCCGCTCTGGGCGGGGCCCGGCCGGAGTGCGGCCCCTCAAATGGCACCGTGCCGGGCCGTGTGTGGCCTCAGAGTGGGGAGTGTGTGCCCACGGGAGACTCCGGTACACACGCAAGCCCCCCCCCGCCACACACAGTGCACACAGCATGGGGAGCACACAGGCCCTGACAGCCTGCCCGGCTGGGGCTTGGCGTGGGCTTGCCCCCTGGACCGTGGGGGCGGGACCAGCGCCCTGAGGGGCAGAGCAGAGGAACAGGCCAGGAGGTGACACGCTGGCAGCGTTATGACACCCGCCTCACGGAGCCCAGCCATGGAACCAGAGTCACCCGTTAGCGCACACCCAAGTGGGCAAAGAAGAAAGGGCCCCGGACCATCTGCAAACCTGCAGCCCGTTCCTGAGAGTCAGCCCCCGGGAAGGCAGGGGGGGGCGGGGGTTTTCGCCTCAGTTTTATTTCCCTAGAGGCTGCCATCTTCAGCCGCGGGGTGTGCCCCCCACCCGCCACCCCCACTCCCTGCGTGTTTTGCAGGCCCCTGGCCTGTGTTGGTTTGCAAAGGTCTGCACTTGGCGGCGTCCTCAGGACGGCTTGGCACCCTGGTCCTTCCGCCTGCCAGCTGGGGGGCTCTGAGCCAGGGACTGAACATAGGTCCCTGCCTCAGTTTCCCCATGCGAGAAATGATGGTGAACTACCCAACACACAGGACGGTTTCGAGGGGTGGTCTCACTGACGTCACCCACATGGTCACTGCTACTGGGAACCCCATATCTGTGTCCCCCTCCGGTTCACGGGCTGGAGCCCTGCTCCCCACTCGGACGGTGCTGGAGGGGAGACTCTTGTGGGGATCAGGGTTAGATGAGGTCATGCGTGTGGGGCCCTCAGGGTGGGATTAGGGTCCTTCTGAGACCAGGAAGAGACTGGAGAGCTCGCTCTCCCCGTGCTTGAGCCCCAGAAAGGCCACTGGGCACGCAGGGAGCAGGTGGCCGTCTGCAGGGGAACCGTAGCTGCCAGCACCTTGATCCCAGGCTCCCGGCCTCTGGAACTGTGGGAGGGAAATTTCTGTCCAGCCACCGCATTTTGGTAGAGCAGCCCAAGCCGACTAAGACGTCCTCAACACCACCACCGTCAGCGTCGTCATCAGCATCCAGCATCGGAAACAGAGAGGAAGGTCCTGCGCTGGCCTCCTCCGGCTCCTCTGCCCTGGAGCCAAAGGAACGAAAGCAAACCGGAGGTCGAGGCAGGCTGACCCCGGAGAGGCGGAGGAGCGGTTCCCAGCCCCGCCTGCTGCGCCCCCTGCTGTCCGGACCTGTCCGCACAGGCCGGCTGCCTTCCCCGCTGGGTCCCGTCCTGCCTTTCCTATAACAAATTTAAAGTCCTGGCCGATCATTCCGATGTCCCGGCCACCTGTGGGTCTGCTTGTACCTAACTTTTTCTCTTGATTATGAGTTCCACTTTCCTTTTTCTTTGCATGTCTTACAATGTATTTATTCCCTCGGACGTCATGTGTAGAAAAACAGTAGTGTGCAATATAAATATATATTTTTAAAGATTGTATTTATTTATAAGAGAGGGAGAGAGGGAGAGAAACACCAATGTGTATTTGCCTCTCACATGCCCCCCAACTGGGGACCTGGCCCGCAACCCAGGCATGTGCCCTGACTGGGAATGGAACTGGTGACCCTCATGGTTCGCAGGCTGGCACTCAATCCTGAGTCCCACGAGGCAGGGCTAATGTAAATATATTCCGCCCGGAAAAAGAGCAGGCCCCCTCCTCCATCGGGCCGTTAGTGGGAGGGGCAGAGGCACTCGGACTTGCAGCTGAGCTGGGCCTGAGCTTGGACTCACTTCCCCACTCACTGCAGATGCTTTGCCAGTGGGACGGGGTCAGGTCTCTTCCTTCCGTCTCGGAGAGAAGAGGCCAGCATGAGAGACGTGAGGTGTGTGTAAGCGGGAAGGGTGGGCGGCCCAGGCCCGCGTGTGTGGCAGGGGTGGGGTGGGGGTAGGTGAGCGCTACAGAACAGGACAGCATCTGCGCAGGGAGGGAGGGAACCCGCAGGGGCCTGGCTCTTGGGCTTGAGACTTTGAAGTTACAGCTGCAGATGGTGAGACGGACAAGGGGCAGGGGCCTGACGAGGGGCTGCTCCGCGAACCGCAGCAGCCCCTCTGAAGACCCCACGGACATCCCAGGACCCAGACCCACGGCCCACTGGCCACTCGGCTTCCGCGCATTTGAAAAACGCCTCCATCCCAGCTCCAGACCCGCCACGCGTGGCTCTGTTCCTCCAGGGGAATTTGCCCGATCTCTGTGTCCCGGCCTCACCCACGCAGTGGGGGGAGCCCCCAGGAGCCCCCCAGCTCCACACCGGGCTCCTCACAGAGCTTTTTGGCTTTGTCAGCTCCAGACAGCCTTTGAAAACCCGGGGAGCGGAGGGTGTGTGTGTCTAATAAAGTTGGAGCTCTGTAATTTAGCAATTATTGTAACCCACACTTGTAATTTAGGGGGCTTCTCGTCATTCTTTGTACTCGCTCTCTTTTAAAAACTGTGCAGCTTTAATAGCTCTCTGCCTTTAATGCTCCAAAGGCTGCTACTTGCCCCCCACCCCCCCCCCATTCCCACCCCTCCCCCTCCCCCACTCCGAGTCAGCCCAGAGCAGAGCTCACGGAAGTGTGCAGAACACGCCGGCGCCGCTTTTCAGGGATTTCAACGGTGAAATGAGGTTCGGCAGCTCCCGGTGGAAAAGCAGCTGGCTCTGTGCCGCCTTCCAAGCTCTGAGTCTTGTGTGGTCACCGGTGTGGATGGCAGCCCTGGAAGTCGTCACCTCCCTGGGTCTTGGGGGCCATTAGGAAGCCAGTCTCTGCCAGAACACACGGATGCCACCCTCCCCGCTCTCCGTCCTCTGTCCTCTGGGCGCGGCTCTCGCTTCCCCGTGTATTTGCATGTCTTATAATTTGGGGGCAAAACCGGACGTTGTAAGTAATATGTGGCAGTAACTCTGGATTCTGTTCATTTTTCTAATCCTTTTATCTGCCCATAGGGTCTGCGGCCCCTGGGGGGTGGCGCTGCCCTTGTTTCTGTTCAGATTTTTGACTTTTTGTTCTGCCTTCCTGGAGGCCACTCCAAGCCTCCCTCACTTAAGGGTCGGCCAGTGATTTGGAGAGTTTGGCCTCACACACCTGAGCCCTGAGCCCGCTCCAGCCTGGTGGCTCTGTGGCTTCTCCCTGCAGCCCCAGGCCTGTCCTGGTGTCCCAGGGAGTGACAGCCGTGGCCTGGGACAAAAGCCCCTCTTGCTGGCTTTCCTTTCTGGGTGCTCAGCTCCCCCCCCCCCGCCCCCACCTGAACTCACATCTGGCCGCTTCTTTGTCCCCTCACCTTCCAGGAGAGCCTCGTTCAGATGGAGCCACTCCTTGCCACCTGCACCCACAGCTGTGCCTTTGCTGACCTGAGGGCCTGGCCCTTGCCTCAACTGGCTGCCGACTGTCTGCCCGCTCGGCCCAGATCCTGCTCCATGGGACACCCGAGGGTCAGCTCAGTTCCCTGGTGGCAGGCGTCCCGAAGGCGGAGGTGCTGTGTCCTGCCGGGTCGGGTCCCACCTCTAGCTGAAAGCAGGGTGCGGGTCTCAGGAGCGTCCAGGAGCCACCTGGGAAGTGGCTGTGACATTCCAGCACTTCCCACCCCCAGGTACAGGCCTCCCAGAGGGTCAAGTTCGTTCTGGCACTTCTCCCCGACCCAGCCTGCCTCCTGCCAGGTCTCCGTGGCGGTGGCTGACCCCTGAGACTCTGAGTTAGGGAGGGGGTTTTGCACGGCGACAGCAGAATATTCTGGAGGAGGAAGGACCCATCTTGCAATGCTCGGCTCGGTTTTGCGGACAGAAGGAGCCTCCCAGGCACTCCGAGCGCCCCCAGGCCCGCGGAGGCCCCCCTGGGCTCTGGGCAGAGCCTTTGGATTTGAAATCCACGCTTGCCCTGGGAAGGCAGCGCCCGGGCCGGAGTCCTTCCGCCCCCCACGTGGGCGCCAGGCCGGGCACCGCCTCCCTGTCCTGGAAGGAGAAACCGGACACATTCACGCAGCTCCGCCCAGCCTCCCCCGCCCTGCACGGCGCCTCCTCCCCCTCCACGCCCCTCCCACCGCCCACGTGGGTCTTCATCTGGTTAACTGACGTCGCCTTCATCAGAGCCAAGGCGTGTCCTTGTTCTGAACCCAGGGGTCCCGGGGAGGCGAACCCCATCTGTCTGGGTGCCCAGGGGCAGCGGTGTGGGCGCAGGGCATCTGACTCCTGCTGCCGCTTTGCCCTGAGCCCAGACAATGCCCTCGGGCATGAGTGTGGGGGAGGGGGGAATCTGAGGAGCGGGGCGGGGCTCTGGTCTCTGCCCAGTCCCTCCCTCAATGGGCTCCATGCGGAAGCCCCTTCTGTCTTGGGCGTGGGCCCTAGGGCCTCACTCCCACTTTTGGACAGAACACGGCAGTTTTGGAAAGAGAACAAAAGTCGAGGGGAGGGTCACCCAGCCTGGAGTGGCCGGCAGCAGGCATGCCCAGTGGCCGCCCGAGGCAGGCAGGCTGGGCAGCTGCCAAGTCCGTGCCCACAAAGACACAGTCCGGCTGCAATGCAGCTGGGAGTCCCCAATCCCCCTCCCCCCACCCCTGCCACTCCCACCCCTCCCCACCCCCACCCCGCAGAGTGGGAAGACCCGGAGTCCTCAGGCCCAGCCACACCCGTGGACTCCGAACCACACTTTCTTCCCTCGCTTCCTCTCCACATTCCTCCCACAGGGTGAAGTGGGGGGTGGCACCGAGGGACAGAGGGACAGGGAGCAGGGTGGCTGCTGTTGGGAAGGAAGTCCCCTCACCCCCAGCAGGCAAGGGCCAGCAGGGCCAAGAGCTCAGGGAAGCCCAGGGTGGGGCTCGCAGGGGGCCCTCCAAGTCTTGGTGCAGAGCAGGATGGGTGCAGGGGCAGCGACGATAATGACAAATGACATAAACAGGGTGACAGTAATTCATAAAATGGGGGCAGGGCCCCTGGAACTGCCCCTTTGGAGCCCCGGGGAAGACGCAGTCCCCTGGGAGCTGGGTACCGCCTTTCCTCTCTGCTGCCCAAGGGGAGGATCCGGCAGGGTCAGGGATCCGCCCTCCCCAGCCAAGCCTCCCAGGATGCACCACGTGGCGCCGAGCTTGGTTCTAAGGCTGGCCGAGGCCCCCCCAACGTGCCCTTGGCCATGACTGCTCTCCTGGTCCTTGAAAAGCAGGACGGCAGAGCTGTGGGGGCCGCCTGCCCGGCACCATTAGGGGGACTGTCTGTCTCTCAGGAGAGCAGGTGATGTAGCCTGACAGCTGTCAGAAGGCCCCGTCTCCTGCCTGCACCATCCCCCCTCCCCCACCCCATCCCCCAGTAGCCGGTCCTGGAGGGGGGTCGGCTCCTAAAGAGCTGACAGTGGCTGCTAATGAGCCAGTGGAAGGGCTGGGGGAGGGGCTGCCAGAGGGCTGGGTGCCCCCCCTGCTTGCCAGGCCCGGGCGGGGCTGCCCTCTCCCCCATATTCCTGGCCGCCTCAAGGGGCATCTGAGGTTGACCCTGGAAACCAGCACAGCTCCTCAGGTCTGGAACTTCCCGGAATGTTCTCTCTGCCTCGGAGACATCTGTTTGATGTATTATTATTTCAAAAATCATCCTCTGGAGTTTTTGTTCTTAAAGATAATTAAAGCCAGTGGCCAGAACCAGGTGTCCTCCCCCCACGACCCCTGGTTCTCAGGAAGCCCCCCCCCACTGGGTGACATGGTACAGGTTGAGCTGTGTCCCCCCGACCTTGCGGGGCGTGAGAGTGTGTGAAGGGAGGGCCTCCAAAGAGATGACGGGTGACCTCCGTAGGGCCCCAACCCAGTGTGACTGGAGTGTTATCAGGAGAGCTGATTGGGGCACAGACACACACAGGGGGACGAGACCACCGTGTGGTGGAGGTGGCTGTCGACGTGGAGAGTGGCCCCAGCAGAAGCCAACCCCGACCTCGGCCTCCGGCCCTGGGGACCGCTCTCCACAGCGCCCGGTCTGGGGCGCTTTTTCGAGGCAGCCCGAGCTGACTCACGCAGAACCTGTTCGGAAGAACGAACCCAAAATGAGTTTCTAAAGCTGCGTCCCAGGCTCCGGAAACTGTCCGTTCCGACGGGCGGGGAAAGGCTTCCCGAATGTGCGTGTGGGCCCAGCAGGGCGTGTTCGTGGGCAGTCTCCGCACCCCAGGCCGCTGCCGGCCACACTCCCCCCACGGTGCGTTCCTGAAGCACCATCTTGCTCTTTATTTCTGACTCCTCACTCGAGGATATGTTTATTGATTTGAGAGAAACTTCAGTGTGAGAGAGACATCACTCAGGCGCCTCCTACGCCGTCCGACCGGGGATGGAAGCATCCCGTTGCTGCCCACGGTGATGCTCCAACCAACCGAGCTACCTGCCCAGGGCATTTTTGGTATTACGATGTTTTAATCTCTAAAGCACGATTTTTAAAATGGTGTTTGTACACCAGGGTGGGGCGGCAGCCTCTGGAACACCCGCCCTCGGTGTCCAGCGTAGCGCGAGGGGCCGGTCACCGTGGGTTTGCTTTGAGCACTCGGAGGGAAATTTATTTAATTTGTAATAAATCTGTATTGCAGTGGAAATTCAATGGCTCCAGTGGCTATAAAAATTAATTCTGTATTCTAAACACTATTATATAGCTTTTAAAATGAATTGGCTTGTGGTCATGTTCCTGGTTGGGGCCATTGTTAGTAATTAGCGTAATCAAATAACATCACTGTGATATTCCCGCCTTCCTCCTGCCCTCTGCCGGCCTGGGGGGGGGGGGGCCCCCGTTCTGGTAGGGGACTGGCCGCCCGTTGGAGTAATGGGGCTTGTGAGCAGGGTGTGGGGTGTGAGGGATCAAAGCTGCCTGCCGACTTTGGGGTCTGCGAAAGATGCTTTCTTTGTGTTCCTACGTGGTCCTCTTTTGCTCACTGTTTTTTCTTTTTCCTCCAAAGTGCTGTGTACTCGTGAGGATAGCGAGACGATTTCCCCTGGAAAGAGCTTGTGGAAAGGCTAGGACTCTGCGTTCTGTTTAGCAGGGAGGTGAGGGTCCGGGGACCACCAGCGGCTGCCTGGAAAACACGGAGCCCCTTGCCTGGATGGGCGTTTATTTTCCCCGCTGAGGAAGTGAGTCAGTAGATGCCTGCAGACCTTTGGGAGGGGTCCAAACCCCAAATAACAGTAGCTGATGTTTGCTGGGGGGCGAGAGGGAGAGGCCTGGCCGGGGTCCCTGCCCTGGCCCCCGGGGGGCCTACTGGGGCAGATGGGGAAAGTTCCAGAAGTCCAGGCGCTTGGACCAGGCAGACTGATGTCTTCTGTGTCAGGAGGCTGCCACCAAAATCCAGCGTCTCCTTCCCTCTGGACGGGAACCGACACCCTCACAGGCTTCTCTGCGACATTCTAGCTGCGGCGAGTACCTGAAAGCAGCCTTCATGCTTGTTCTCGATTGGAATTATGTGCGTCATCGGATGATCCTTGATCACGGAGCCCTCGTAATGCCCCGATCTCTAAAGCTGTTGTGGGGACTGGCGTCACTTCCACCGGTCACTGCTGTCATTCTCAGTGCTTTGTGGCACGCACTGGAAAACACTGTGTCTGCGAAAGGGCCCACGGGCCTCATCAGCTGTCAGGGGCCCGTGGCTGGAGCTGCTGGCCCGCCTCCCCTGCTTCCCAGCTGCCAACCTGGCTCCGCCTGGTCACTGTGGACATGGGAGACGAGCCAGCCCTCGGGGCTGTTGGGGCGATGGAAGGGGCTGACTAAGGAGCAGGCTTCAGTGCGGAACAAGACACCCCTTGGGCTATCTCACCCAGTCCTCCAGCAACCCCACAGACAGAGTCCTAGAATTGTTCCCATTTTACAGGTAGGGAAACTGAGGCTCACTTTACATGCCCTTGGTCGCCAAGCCCAGGCTGTCGAGCTGCAGATCCTGTGGTCCACACTAGGCTGCCTTCTGGGAGAGTCAGGCACGTCAGGTCAGGCTCAGAAGGCCAGTTGCCGACTTCTCGGCTGCCAGGGCCCTTGTTTGACCTTGAGCTCCAGCCAGCGATTCCCCACAATGCAGTTCAGGGCTCAGGTCTGTGTGGGGTGAGGAGCCGCTTCTTGCTGAGTGTGGTGCAGAGCTTGGGTGTGCTGGGTCTTGGTGCCTCAGGAAGGGTGGAGGACCCAGGGGGAGCACCTGGTAAGGTGCAAGCCCTTGGGGCCATACTCTCTGCCACCCCTCTGTCCTGGTTTCCCAGTGGTTGCCGGCCAGGCCACCGGACTGAAAGCTTTGTGGCTTCCTCCAAGGACTCACCTGTCAAGGGGAATTAGTCAGAGAGGAGAGAGAAATAAAGACTCGATTTGAATTCAAGGTAAAAACCTCTGGGATCTGAAGAGAGTGGCTGGGACAGCCTGTGAGTGCCTTGGAGACCTTGACGGAAAGGTTAACGCAGGTGCTGAGCCGGTGCTGAGCCGACATTGACCCCTGACCAGGGAGGCGCCTGCGGCACCAATTAGCATCTCTAGTTCTGAGCTGGGTGCATTTGCATAAGTCCTGAGTCCCCAGGAGAAATGTCCACACGGCCTCCTATTCTTCGCTACCCGAAAACTGTCCCTGCTCTTTCCCTAGCCGATAGTTCATGCGGCCTCCGGAGCAAGCTTCTGCTGTGTCCTCAGCCCAGTCCCTGGGTTTGGCAGTGCTCCTGGGGGCGCTGTCCCCCCACCCCACACCTTGACCCCCACACTCCAGCCCCAAGGACAGAGACTCCACACTGTCATTTATCCCCAGTGTGCGCAGCCGGCGCCCAGGGCACAGTGCACAGGGCATTTCCTCACACGACCCCGGCTGCCCCCTGTGGGCCAGAACCACCTCCGAGGGCCACTCATGGGCTGCTGGGCAGAAGGCTGGCCGGCGGATTCAGTCTCGGCCCAGTTCTGGGTCTGCCCTGTGGAGAGCTTACGGCTGAGCCGGGGAGATAAGATGTAAGTACCTGAAAAGATTATTTTTATTTTTGGAAAGTTGAGCACGGCAAGCCAGCATCCCATGAGGCTGTGGGGTTAGACTGGGGGTAGAACCGTCTTATTCTGTTTGGAATCGCTGAAGAGTTGCAGGAAAGGCTTACTTCTTCCTCCTTTTAAAAAAGCATTTTTTTAATATTCTGCAGCATTGCTGCGATGCTGAGGTTAGGCTTGGGAGGAAGCCGTGTGTCAAAACATCGAGCGTTGTGCTGGCGTGGGGGGGCGGCAAAGATAGCAGGCGGGGTTTCCGAGACCACCCTGGGGCCTGGCTTTGCGGGGGCGCTGCCAGCCGACTCGGGGTCTGGTGAAGGCGTTTGCTCAGAACGGCATTCGTGATGAGCCGTGTGCTCACTCCGTCTCCTGGGTCATAGCTGGCGGAGTGTCCAGGTGCTGGGATTTGTGACGTACAGGACATGTAGTGGACGTGGTCTCAGGCGCTGCCTTTGTCCCAGGGAATGCTAGAATGTCGAACGAGAGGCAGATGCCCCCGCCTGGTCTCCCCGCCCACCCACTGCCAGTGCTGGAGGAGCACGAAGACAGAGCCTCCACTCAGGAGGGGAACGCAGGTTACCAGCGTGGGGACTGGAAGACACTAGCTTACCTCTCCCCAAGGAGTCTCTCCTTCCAGGGCATCCTACGCACTGCGGCAGTTGCACCGAGTGGCCACAGGGTGGCGGTGTGGGCCTGCGCCAAGTTAGATGCTCGGCAGGCCGGCTGCCGCCCTGTGCGGACTGGGCGTTGGGGCAGGAGCCGGGAGGGTTCCCCCTTAATTTAATCGCCCCGTGCTCTGCACTGGGAGCGCGTCTGCATCCTTCCCGGGGCGGGGGTGGGGGGTTCCCTGTGCACGGGGACTTCTGGGCGCTTCCTTGCTGGGCTGCGAACACGCTGATAAAAAGTTAATTTCTATTTGCTGTCGCTCAGTAATTGGATGAACATGAAAGCAATTAAATATTAAAACATACAAACAAATAACCAAGTCACTGTAATTAGTCAAAGTTTGATCACTGTCATATTTATTTAAGAAGAGGTGATATGTCTCAGCAGGTGACATTTTAAACACCCCCGGCCGCTCTGGTGGCGTCTTTGGAGAACGCTGAATAATGGAGGGAGAATTTAATTAAACCCTGTTGTAAATCAGCTATGATGACAGGGAAATGACAGCCACATGTTGAAACGAGAATTAGTCCTCAGCAAGGGATATTAATTAACTCCTTTTCTGAAGGCTTTTGGCACAGAGTGGCATTTAAAAAAATAAAAAAGCAGCCAGCGCCATGACCGGGGAGGGGATCGTGCTGTTATTATTTTTATAATCAACCTTATTATTTATGGCTGGAATTGCTTCACTGGCCAAGAGCAGCTAACAATCACGCTGCCGTACAATGAGATTAAACAGTTCTCTCCCGGGAGCCGTGAGCTTCAGGTAGAAGTCAGCAGGCCACAGGATGCCAGGACACAGCAGCCCCTTTGGGAAACACGGGCATTTTTATAAGCAGCGGGCAATGGGTTATTCTCCTGCAGAATGGACTCAGGGAGGCCATACAGAAAGGCATTAAAGGTGAGAACACAGAGCTCGGAGCTGGGAGAGGTTGTGCAAACTGTCTGCCTAACGCTGTGCCCCCAGCAGAAGAGGAAAGGGAAGCTCAGAGTGGCCCAAGGGTCTGCCCAAGGTCATGGGCTTCCTGGGGCAGAGTCTCGGTTCAGGGTGACACCCCAGTCTGATTAGCGGCATTTCCATGATGTGCCTCCCTGAGTTTTGACAGGTAAGCTGCAGAGGACACGTGTGTGCCGTCTCCCATCACGAAAGATGCTGCTGTGAAGGGCAGGGTGACAGAAACGCTGTGTCTGTCCTGGATGCAAAAGTGTCCCATGCCAATGGAACCGAGGTGCCCACACCCATGAGGGCTGCTTGAGGCCTCCCACGAGGTCTCTACTGGCCTCAGCTGGAAAGGAGGCGGAGTTTGCAGAGTTGCCTCAGTCTTGCTGCCCAGGGGGTGGAGTCTAACGGGCCTGGGAGGGCTGTCGGGAGCAGAGGGTGAGAGGGGCGGCCCTGAGCTCCTACCCCTGAGACCTGCGGGGCTCTACTGTGGAGGTGCCGGTGGTCTTGCAAACGTGAAGGGGTCCCAGGGTCACAGAGGCGCAGTCTCACTGCATCACACTGCACCCCGGTCCTGGAAACTCGCTGCGCCCGTTGGCATGGTGAACGCTCTGAGCAGGCCCTTGGTGCAGAGCCCTGCCGACTTGGCTTCCTATGGCGAGTCTCACTTTTATTCATTGAGTGCCCCCTGCCCCCGCAAGTTCTGTGGCTGTTTACAGTACACCCTGGTGGTCAGAATACGGCCAGGGGAGGGTGTCCACATTGAATCCCCGTAACCTGAGACTGTGAAGGGGGACCCCCAAATTGAAATGATCTCCTGGAGGGCAGGCGCCTTGTGGTACAGGCTTCCCCCACTAGGGGAGTTTTCTAGGAGCCCATCTGGACCGGTGCGCCAGCTGGTGTTGTTGTGAGAGGCTGCGTTTGGCTTCAGTGACTTTTTTTTTTTTTTAAGATTCAACATGTCTGCCCGTTTCCTGATGGGTGACTTACGAGCACACCTGCCCACACGTGCTGAGTGGTCAGCAGTTTCTGACCAAACAACAGCATGACCCCCGGGGCCTCACCCTCCCTGTTCACCTGATTTGGTCCTGAGCAACTTTGTTTGTTTCCCTCAAAGGGAAATGTTTTGCCGATGTGGAAGAAGCAAAACAAAACAATGACAGATGCCCTAAAAGGCATCAACATCGACAAGTTCGAAAACTGTTCTGAGCCGTGGGAAAAACGTCTCGACGGGTGTATTGTATCGAATGGAAAGGACTTGGAAGGTGACTGAAGCTTAAACGGGTAAGACTAAGCACACAATTTTTTATGAGTGCGCTCTACTTTTGGGGTCCCCCTTGTATGTCACCTCACATGGCCAAAGGGCCTTCGAAGACTCGAGTCAAGGGATCATTCTGGATCGCCCTGCATCCTCGTCGAAGCACGAGCCTGTGGGAGAGGCAGGCAGGGTGCTTCTCCGGCCTGCGGTCCGAGAGCGGCGTGGGGAAAGAAGGGCCAGAGAGGCCCCGGCGCTGGCTTCCACCATGGGCGGGCCGCCAGCCAAGGAGCCCCACGGCCTGCAGAAGCTGCAAAAGGCCAGGAGGCGATTTCCCCGGGGCCTCGGGAAGAGCGTGGCCCTGCGGACACCTTGATTTAGTCCAGTGAGACCCACGTCGGGGCAGAACCTAGAGAACTGGTAAGATAACCAACTCGAGTTGTCGGCTGCTCCCTTTCTGGCATTTTTTTATGGTGACAAGAGAAAGGGAAGGTACACACCTGTTACCTGCGGTCTGTTACACACCGGCCTTGTTCTGAGCCCAGTGCTTGATCCAGTCAAGCAGTTGTGATGAGTGGACCTTGGTCTGGCTATGGGGCACAGTGGACCCAACCAAGTCTCACGGGACACACTTTGCATTTCACGTGGGCAGTGAGGACACACGTGTTTGAGAGGGAGAGAGCGGCCCTGCCTAGGGCGTGCTGGGCATAATGGGCGCTGAGACAAGTTCCCACCCATCCGGGGTGATCTGGGGGGCTCCCTGGAAGAACCAGCCTGGTTGGGCCTGGAGTGCGGGGCTCCCAGGCTAGAAGCCTCTAAGGAAAACCCTGAGTGGAGGAGAGCTGGGGGCGGGGCCTCTGAGTCTGTGCAGTGGGCGGGGCCCCACCTCTGCCGGCCCCACACCGAGCTGTGGACATTCTGCCCAGTGTCCCTCCCACTGGATGGGTGTGAGTCTACTGTTAGAGGTGTGGAGGGGACAGGCAGAGGCTGAGAACGCTGCTGGGGGGCTCCCCACTTGCTCCCTGTCTCCCACGCCAGGGGCGTCCTGGGCGCCATGCTGATGCTGGTCTCTGAAACCTAGGTTCTCAGGGGACACTTCTTCCCGCCCCTTTCTCGCAAGGCTTCCGCTGCTGGTTCCGTCAGCTCTCCTACAAGTTTCGGAGTGGACGTGGGCGTGTGCAACCACAGCACTGGACAGAGCTTGGGGCTCGGAGTGGAGAGGACCTGTGGGAACTCGGAGGGCGCTGCCCGGGCGCTGGCGGGGACTGGGACGCCCTTCTGCACCTGGGGCTGGATCTTCAGCCCCACGCCGGTGATTTGCAGGCCTGTCTTGGCTTGTGGAGGAACTAGAGCAGGTGGGTTTCCCAGCCGTCTTTTCCTTGGGAACCAGGACGGGAATGCAGCCTCGGGACCTGAGAAGGAACGGAGGGCCAGGACCGCCAGGCCTCGGCCCACGCGGTGAACACCTGGTGCCAGACAGTGGGGCGCGGAGTCCAGGTGGGAGCCATCGGGATCTTTCTGGCCCTGCCTCACCTGGAAGGACACACCTGCCGCCTCTACGCCCCCTCCTGGCTGCCACCCGCACCTGTGAGCCGCCAGCCCCGCAGGTGGGCCCACTTAGCAGGCCCCGCCCACCAGGGCTGGCTGGGAGGGGCTTCCGACAGGCTGAGCCCGGCACACACCCGTCCACGACGCGCGCTGGCCTCTGTCAGCCGGCCCCTTCCTGAGCTGGGTGTCCACCTGGCACGCGCTCCTAGCTTTCGCAGGCCTGTGCATGCCCAGCTCCTCCTCTGGTCGGCCCCGGAGCCCCTGCAGAAGTGGAGCGGACCAGCCAAGTTCACGGCTCAGCAGGGGGGCGGGGCCCAGCGGTGCATCCGAGGCTCCGGGACTGACCGGGCTCAGCTCAGTGAGAATCAGCCTCCAGAGGGCTGCTCCGCAGGGAGGCGCCCAGGCCCCTGCCTTTCTCAAAGATCTGCAGCTGGTTCTGACCCGCAGCCAGACTGAGAACCCAGGGAAGGTTCTGGAAAGGAGCTGACTAGTTCACAGCCCGGAGGTTTCTCTGGACGCCATCCTGCCAGAGGACTGCTTTGGGAGCGGGGACTTTAGACTCAGTCCCAGCCGGCTCCAGTCTCCACTGTCCCCACCTGACCACGTGGGTAAGACCTGCGACTTCCCCTCCAGGGGCCTTGGGTCATATCCAGGAAAGGAACTGCTTCCTCAAGTGCTAGGGCCTGAGACCGCTGGAGAAGCTACTGGGAGTTGTGGAAGCTGAAAATGGGGGTGCCCCGGGGCCTGGGGCGGCACCTGGGCTCCTGTGTCTCCCGACGTCCACCCTTGGCTTCCCCAGAGGGACGCGTGGACCAGCCACTCAGGAAAGACCACAGCTCTGTGCAGCCGACTCCCAGTTCCCAGGTAGGACCCCTGGCCACCCACCTGGCACCTGCCCGTCAGGTCCCAGGGCCGCACCCGCACCAGGGTCCCAGGGGCCAGGCGAGCCCTAGGAGCCGGATCAGGACCTCCCGGTGGTGGGCGCTGACTTAGTAAAAGCAGGACACCTGTGTTTGGAGAACACCCAGGACAGGAGAGGTCTGCTCCCCCCGCCCCCGCCCAGGCTGTTCCACGTGGAAGGAAGAAGGCCCCTTCCCAGGGCTCTGGGCCGTGCAGATCTTGCCTTAAACAAACGGGAGAATTTATTTGCCTTCAGTCAGCCTGCACGGAGGTCGAAGGGCTGGGGCCCCTTTCACTGTGGGGTGAAGGGGTCACTGGGTTATTTGCTCGGGAACCACGGCTGCGGGGCACAGGCACCGCCCTTGAGCGGCATCCACCTGTTCCCTCTCAAGACGCTGCTCAGCCTGTGTCTCTCTCATGTCCCTCCCCCAGCCGTCCCCTCTGCTCCACAGCCCCCTCCGACCTTGTCACCTCACCAGGGCGTCAAACTCGTTTTCACTGGGGGTCACATCAGCCTCGAGGTGGCCTTCAAAGGACCGAATGTAATTTTAGGACTGTATAAATGTAACTGCTCCTTAACCAGGGGCAAGAAGCTGGGCGCTGCTGCTGGGCAGAAACAAGGCGGAGGCCACATTCGGCCCGAGGGCCTGGTGTCTGCCGCCTGTGCCCTGAGCTGTGACCTACCTTGGGGCCTCGGTGAATATTTCTCAGCCCGATGGGTGACCTTCGAGGGTGGCTCTGGGGACGCCAGCGTGGGGGCCTGGAGGCTCCTCCGTGAGCCTGCCTCTCAGCACTGCGGTGCCTGCTGCACAGCCCCTGGGTTCCTGGGGGGTCGCGCCCACGGGCCTCTGCAGGCCCCGCCTCGCAGCCTCTGGTCCTGTGCGCGTGGGTGGAGCCACTTCAGTTCACAACACCGACAGGCGCGGACTCACTTTTCTCCGTTGGTGCCTCCTGCCCCCTGCTCCTGCCTGGCACCTCAGTGCTCAGGGCGGTGCCCTGGAGTTCTTCTCTCTGCTCTTCGGTTTCATGAGTGTCCCGACCCCCCAGGGAGCCGTCAGAGACTGGCAGGCCCTTGAGGGTAGACTTCCCAGAGCTCTGCAGGCTGGCGCCCTGGAGACTGGTGGGCACCTGCAGGAAGGTCCAGGGGGCTCCTTCCTCCTGGGTGGGCGGCGGCCCGAGAGCCCAGGAATGCAGCTGGGAATGAAGAGGACTCGGTCCCCCTGATGCCTCCAGAAGCCGCTCTGGAGAAGGTGGCCCTGGGCCTCTCCCCTCCAGGGCGGGCGGCCTGGCTTCCTGAGGAGTTGGCCGCAGGGGGAGGCCTCTGTGTCCACCTGTCTGGGGGCCTGCAGCGGAGAGAACAGACCTGGGAGCTGCCCAGTGTTTGAAGACCAGGCTGGACTGGGCCACCTGCCGGTCACTTTCCAGGGGGTACGGCCTTGGAGCCTCTGAGGCACAAGCATCGTGGCAGTTGGTGTGCGCGCACGTGTGTGCATGTGTGAACATGTGCGTGCACCACGCACGAGCAGCCGTGTTTCCATCTCCGAGTCCTGTCTTCAGCAGGTCCTGGTGCCCTCTGGGCCCCACACTTTCTGGGTCACGCCCATGAGCGAGAGTGAGCAAGAGTGAGCCTTGCTCCGATACGCCCAGTGAGGTCCTGGGCCTGTGTGAATTGGGCTGCGTGGGTTCACGTGCCCACCTATGGACCAGCCTCCGTGGCAGGTAAAGGGGCGGGGAACACGGGTTGGCCTAACTCAGGCCACGTGCTTTACCCTTGGCCCCGGGATGGCCCCCTGCAGCTGCCCCCACCGTGAGGGAGGGAGGGAGGCCAGTGGGGAGCGGGTGTGAGCACTGGGACGGCAGCCTGCAGGGTCAGTCTGAGCAGCATTGGGAAGGCCAAGGGCAGACGGCCCGGCCCTGCAAGACCGGTGGCCACAGGGGCTGCGGTGGGGTCCTCACAGAAGCGTGGACGGTGGTGAATTTGCGGCGTGCGTGGGCAGTGGTGCACTGTGCACTCAACACCAGCCTTGGCCCAGCGACCCGTGGGTTGGCCTGGGGGGTGAGGAGCCCACTGGCGGGAGCCAGCCCGGCCCCAGGAGGTCGGCACAGGTGCAGCGGGAGATGGAGGCTTCCCGCAGTTCTGCCCAGTGACCGTGTCGGTTCTGGCTCAGCCCCGTCCCCCCTCGCTGACCGGGTGTCTCCTCACCAGAGCTGCCCCTGCGTGTAGGACCGAGCCCCAGGGCAGGGCGGCCTGGATGGAAAGCAGCAGTGCCCACCCCACGCCTCCCCCTCCATACCCCCTTGAAATTTCAGTTCATTTGGGAAGCTTGGTTTTGCACCACCACCTCTGGAGTTGGGCCTGGGGGTGCGGCACCCCCTCCACACTTCTTTGTGTGTTTGACAGTTCACCTGTCCTTCTGTTGTCTGTCTGTCTGCAGCAAAGGTAGTCTATCTACTGAGATTCTCCGGCTGGGGCCTGGTGCTGAGCCAGACGAGGGGGTGTCTGTGGTGCGAGGGGTCGGACACGGTTGGGTCCCAGACCCCCCACGCCCCTCTCGAGAGGGAGCTGACAAGCAGCACCGCCCTCCAGGGCTGCGGGCGGGTGTGCGCTCCCCTAACAGGGTGTCGCGGTTCGGGGCTCAAGTGGCAGAGATCGACTTCTCGTGGTTCTTGGCTGGAATTTCAAGATCAAGGTGCCGGCATTTGGTGAGGGCCCCCCAGCTGGCCCACAGAAAGTCATCTTGTCTTTTGGTCGTCTTGTGTCCTCCCAGGGCGGAAGGAGAAGGGGGCTCTGGGGTCCCTGTCACAAGGACACCAATGGGATTAAGCTCCAACCTATGCATTTCAGGGGAACACACTAAGTCTGCAGCAGGCATCAAGGGCTTAGCCAGGTGGGGACCCCCCAGGACCTGGGCTCAGCAGTGGGCCCGCCCTTGGGCCCACAGCACAAAGGAGCTGGTGGCGGTAACAGAGAGAGACAGACAGAGCAGCCAGCCGAGAGCCCTGCATACTCACTCAGCATGTCCTCCCGTGTCCCTCAGTGCAGGGCTGTTAAAAATAGAACCGCACGTCGCAGAGACCGTCCTAACTGACACCCACCAAGTGCCCATTAACTCATCAAAGTGGTGATTCCAAATTGATTATTTCGAGTGTAAGACATAATAACATGTTCATCATGGAAAATAATTAGCTGCGGAGTGAGTCTCGGGATGGCCGGCCCTGCGGGGGAGGGACGGGGGGAGGGCGGCACCGAGGGTGTGCTGCCAGCTGTCGCTGGGGAGACGGGTCCTCGTGCTGCTGCCCGCCATCGGCCCCCTGGCCTGGCTTCTCTCCAGCTGCCAGGCAGGCCTGCCTCTGGGCCTTGGCCTCCAGCCCGAGGGCAGGGCTATGGCTGGGTCCCCCCCCCCACCCCTGGGGAGCTGGGCTTCAGGACGGGCATTTCTCTCCACACCTCCACTCCGTTTCCTTGGAAACCAGATCCCTCTGGCAGCATTCTGCAGTGACACACACGCTCTCCGCACCAGGAACGAGTGCCACACTAGCCGTCATCGGCCCCCAACCCTCCCCAGAGCCCCCGGCTCAGACCCCACAGGCGGCGGCTGGGAATGGCCACCCTGCGGGCGGGGAGGTGGGCGGGAGGCAGCAGATGAGCCAGGGGGTTACGGGCACTTGGGCGGCAGCATGGCCCCCATGGCGCGGCCCCCACGGTGCGGAGAGCCAGCCACCAGCTGTCGGGAAGGGCGGGTTCTGGAAGCTCCCAGCCCCTTGGTCGGGGGGGGCTTTGGCCTGGGGGTAGGCAGTGGGGCCTGTTGGGGGGCTTCTGCAGCTCTCCCACCTCTGCCAGCCTCCCCCCGACTCCCCCACCCCAGCCTCTGACTGCAGTTTCTGCCTCAGGCAGAAAGTTTGCAGCAGGAAGTAGTTGGGGACCCATGGAAGGTGGGGGCGTGTGTGGCCCCCAGCCCCCTTAGCTCTCACTGAACCCTTCTGGATTGCCTCAGCTGGACAGAGGGCCTTCCCCTGTCCCCCGGCCAGGCCTT